AAAAAAAAAAAATCATCGTACTGTGTTCCTGACATAAAATTTGTTATGCACCCTCCCACACAAAATACACTAACACGATGACATGAGGCTTTGTTAGTATTTAATCCCCTGTAAACCTGTCATTACCAGGCCCGTTTCACTTACTGATACTAGCCATCTTTGTTAAATGTTTGTTACCAAATTGAAGGTTTAGCTAAAGGGCAATGCTAAAGAGGTAAATAATTATTAAAGTGAATGGTCATGTTAAGTGTTACCTTAAGGTGTATTATTTGCAAACATATCCAAGGCTTTGTAGAACAGTTAAGTATTGCTAAGAATTGGGAGAATATAGTGGCTGGGTGTGGTGGCTCAGGCTGGTAATCCTAGCACTCTGGGAGGCTCGGGTGGGTAGATTACACTGAACTCAGGAGTTCTAGAACAGCCTGAGCAAAGGGAGACCAGGTCGTTACTAACAATAGAAAAACTAGCTGGGTTTTGTGTTGGGTATGTGTAGTCTCAGCTACTTGGGAGGCAGAGGCAAGAGGTCGCAGGATCCTAAGAGTTTGAGGTTGCTATGAGCTATGGCGCCATGGCACTCTACCCAGGCTGGCAGAATAAGACTATCTTTAAAAAAAAGAGAGAGCGTATAGCTTGAAATCAGGCTGTTAAGACCTAGATTTCTACCATAAAAGTTTTCTTTGACAATTCAAGAATAAACTGTAGCATAGTAGCCATACAAAACCTTTTTTTTTTTTTTTGAGACAGTTTCACTTTGTTGCCCTAGCTGCTAAGCTACAAGCACCAAGCCTACAAAACCATTTCTTTCTTTTTTTTTTTTTTTCTGAGACAGAGTCTCAAGCTGCTTCCCTGGGTAGAGGGTTGTGGCATCACAGCTCACAGTTAACTTTAAACTCTTGGGCTTAAATGATTCTTTTGCCTCAGTCTCCCAAGTAGCTGGGACTGTAGACACCTGCCACAATGCCTGGCTACTTTTTGTTGCAGTTGTCGTTGTTTAGCTGGCCCAGGCTAGGCTTGAAACCACCAGCTTCAGCGTATGTGGCTAGCACCATAATCCCTGTTCTATGGGCGCCGAGCCTATAAAAACCATTTTTTATACCAATACAGTACATTCAACTAAAGGTATCACATTAACTTACAACAGTTCAAAGCCAGAGACTCATTGTTTTTCCATTACTGCCTTTAAAAGAAACATCTTTTGACTTGGCACCTGTAGCTCAAGTGGCTAAGGCACCAGCCACATATACCAGAGCTGGCAAGTTTGAATCCAGCCCAGGCCTGCCAAAGCAACAATGACCACTACAACCAAAAAATGGCTGGGTGTTGTGGTGGGCGCCTATAGTCCCAGCTACTTGGGAGGCGGGGGCAAGAGAATTGCTTAGGCCCAGGAGTTGGAGGGTGCTGTGAGCTATGATGTCATAGCTCTCTACCTAGGGCAACAGCTTGAGTTTCTGTCTCAAAAAAAAAAAAATCTTTTAAAACTAAAAGATTTTGGGATCACTTGCACTAAGTTCAAGACCAGCCTGAGCAAGAGCAAGACCCTTTCTCTACTAAAAATAGAAAAATTAGCCAGATGTTGTGGAAGATGCCTATAGTCCCAGCTACTTGGGAAGCTGAGGCATGAGGATCACTGGAGCAAGAGTTTGAGGTTGTGAGTTATGATGCCAGGACACTTAAACCAACGGTGACAGAATAAGACTCTGAGGGAAAAAAAGCCCCAAATACTCTTTAGCTGGGTTTGATACTCACACTCAAGCAAGTAATAATATGCTCTATGAAGGTATGATCTTTAAAGTGTACATTACTGTGGGATTTTTTTCTCCTTTCAATCTCCAGCCACTGATACTAAAACAATTAAAAGTAAACCTGAGGCCAGGTGAGGTGATTCACACCTGCAATCCCAGCATTTGGGATGCTGAGGTGAGTGGATTGCCTGAGCTCACAGGTTTGAGACCAGCCTGAACTAGACCTAGACCCCCATCTCTAAAAATAGCCAGGCATTGTGGTGGGCACTTGCAGTCCTAGCTACTTGGGAGGCTGAGGCAAGAGAATCGCTTAAACCCAGGAGTTTGAGGTTGCTGTGAGCTATGACACCACAGTACTACTAAGGGAGACAAAGTGAGACTGTCTCAAAAAAAAAGCAACAAAGTAAACCTGAGAATCAGAAAGTCGAATATTCTGGCTTTGTCCTTGTTTTACAGATGAAATACTCTACCCCTCACTGCCCTTCCACCCTGAAAAGCAAAGGAACAAACAAAAAACCCAGCTGAGACAATAATGATGCTAGAATGGGCAACATATAAAATTAATGAAAAGTATCCTCCATGTAAATGCAAATTTTTAAAAAAATTAATGAAAAGTAAACAGTAGTCAGTAGACATTAACACCAATCCTGCTTTTAATAATTTTATTTTTGTCTAATTTTTGTTACTTTAGTTTCCCATAGCACCTTGGCAATGTTGAAAACAAATACAAATACAAGGATGTACTCATTTTAACATTTTATGCATGAGCATGTGTCATACCATTTTGGGAGGGGACATTTTTGACAATAGAAACAAACCTACGCAATGGACAAAATAGAAGTCAGAGAACTGGTTCTAAACCCCAACCCCTCACATTTAAGAGATGTCACTCAAAGGACACCTGAATCAGGATTTTAAAAAAAGCTGATATGGATATTTCTTTACACATGCTACTCAGTATTCTGTGCTGAAAAGTGAAAATAAAACCATTTAACACACAGTCTGTTGATATCTGAGTTGTACTTTTAGGAACTGTCTACTCAAAGATTCACAAAAAGTCCTCAGCTTTAAAAATTAAACTTTAAGTTATTTAATAATCAAGTGAATTGTAAAATAGAATTGATTCTCAACTTGAAAACAAATTCAACTCCTTAAAATATCCTCCTTCAGTTCATAAAAAGTGAAATGTCTAAGTATTTTCTTGGACACTCAGTTGAGCTACATTAGCATATGCCAAAAAGCCCAGTTAAATTAATGGCCACCAAATCTAAGGAAATATAAAATATTAGAAAACTTTACCTGTCATATAATTAAGAATTTATAAAATCCCCTTAAAAGAAACACATGTCCTCTTCTGAGTTTGCCTTTTCTGTTAAAAAAGAAAAACTGGTACTTTTAAAATGATTAATATATATTGCCAACACAAATATCAGAGAATTAACTCCAGTGTTGTTTGACTGTGTCAGAGTAAAGCCAGTGGACATTTAAGCAAAGAGACTAATTAGTAAGGCCATACCTAATAAACTAGAGAAGGGTTCAGTAACTTTTAAATGCTATTTTCTGTTCCAGCAACATTGTTTTCTAGTGTAAACACTAGTGAAGATGCTAATACTCCATCATTTAAGCCTTGTACAAGCAAACATGGTTATTTAAAAAGAAAATGGAATGTGAAATATTCAAGCTACCTTCATTTTAGGAACCAAAAATAAATGAGAATTCTGCGTGTCATCTGATCTCCTGTACACTGAGCACTTAGGACCACCATAACCCTGTATCACTGAAGTATTATCTTCCTCTAAAATACGGTTGAAAAAAATTCACTATTTTAATGTGCCTATTTTTGGCAAAACTGAAATTATTCAGATTAGACAGGCCGTTGACATTACGAAAACCTTAATTATCAGGATAAAAAATGGAGGCAGGTTTTGCAATGTCTCTATGTACTTCCTCTAAACTGCAAGGTAATAATAACTTCTTTTCATTCAGTAAAAACTTATGGCAGAACATCACTGTATCAGACATTCAACAGCCTAAGGAAAAATGGTAAATCATAAAGCTGACGAAAAATTTTGATATTGACATTTTTCCATCTAAAGAACCAAATAAATAATTGAACTACAATGAACACCCACCCTCATCAATAATAGAGTAATGCTGGGAAAAAAGCCAACAGTTTTCACACAACTCACAGGCATCATTTAGATAAAATCCTTAAATCTGGTGTAATAAAATAAATGCTAAATACATACTGTGAATATATATTATATATACACACACACATACACACACACTTATTCTTCTCTATATATCCCATCAAATGGGAACTATTAGTTGTAATGAGGCAAATTAAATTAAAAACACTATGAGAAATTTAAAAAATGGTCATGTCTTCAAATTAAATTTCTACTTTCAGTAATGTTTAGGGAAAAAGCAAAAATACACTTGCTTTCTTCAAAAGAAGACTCTTAAAAGACTTTTTTTTGTGTTACAATTAGAATCTTTAGATTTTTAGAAACATTAAGACACACAAGCATACATATAATACAAGCCTACATCTGTGACACATTGTTTAAAAAAAGTATGTTTCATTTTAAGTGCAATAATTAAGTTTATAATCCTTACCAAGTGATTTTTACAAAATGTTTATTCTCTTAAATCCAATGCATTCACAGGATGTTAACACTTTAATGTTTATCATTTCCACCAACTGCAGCATTATCTAAGTAAACAAAAATAAGCACTTTTATCATAGATGTAGTCAGTGATTATTAATACTTTCCTTAAAAGGACCTAAACTTCCCCCAAATTTCAGCACAGGTAGTTTCATTGTATGTTTCATCTACTAAGCGATTTAAAAAATAGTGTGTAGAAATGAATAGTTTCAAACTGAGCAATATGTTATACCATGTTATAAAATCCAACAAATCAAAAGCAATTGCCAAGCTGAATAATAAGTTACAAAGAAATAATTCTGGCTTGTACAGAAATGTGCAGTGTTTTCCAAGCTCTTAATAGTTACCCACTAATACAAATTTTCGAAGCTTAACTTAGAGTTGGAAGATAAGTTTCACAGTAATGTAATTTTAACTTCCATTTACATTCATTTTAATATATTACTAAGATGTTTAGTCTATGTCACAATGGTGCTTTCCAGTGTTCACAATTTACAGTTTCAATTTGTACATATGTAATTCACTAACATAAGGGACAGTTCTTACGTATTACAAACTATCCATAAAAAGAAAAACAAAAGCCACCTTACATAGAACTCTGAACATGGTATGACTTAAAACAGATTAATGCAACATGGTTTTTAATAGTAGAGCCACTTCCTAAATACCAGCATGTAAACTTGTCTATTTAACATATGAAAACTATATAACTTTATCCACTGAGAAAATACACATTAATTTTCTTCAACCATTTTCTTCATCTTAAAAATCTCAAGACTTGCTGGTTCTGTTTCAGTGAATTCCAAACTGTATCTTTTTTTCAGGGTGGGGGAAGAAATGAAGGAGGGAAAATAATACTCTGTAAACAGAAAAAAGATTCCCCCCAAATTAAGCCTTTTAAAAATGTTTTTTTACTTCTACACTATTTCACTTTTTAAAGTAAGTTACAATGTTTCACCTTAAACATTAATGCAAATAAATTATTGTAGGGTTAGTTTGCCCTACCATTCTGGGACCTAAAATTCTGTAAGTGAACAGAAGAGTAAATATTTCATGTTCAATTGAATCTGAAATTTAGAACAGTTGAATCATTTGACTAGACTTGTCAAAGCAGTTACAAACACAGAATTCATTATGTGGTTATTCTGCTTTGGGGAGTGGGCAAAGAACAGAGAGTATCATAGAGTATCCAAAAAACGTTTGTTTCCCATGTTAGGGGAAAAATCACAGGGCAGTTTAAAACTCTGAAGGCTATCGATTCAGGTCTAAGATGAATTTTTTTCAATTTTCTGAATAAACTTTTTTCCTTGAGTATCAAACTGATTGGTAGTCACATTTCCAAGTACAACTTCTTGGATGAAATATTAGTAAGCTCAGAAAGACAGACTAAATTTCAAACTAGGAAGAAAAAACTACTCAAGTATTACATTCAGTTTTAAAATCATTTACTAACACAACAGATTTGGCTTCAATCGCTCTTGTCCACACTCACATCCACAACAGGCACTCCAGCCACAGATCTGCTTTGCAACAAAAGGCGATATAGCCAGAGATGGCATTTTCCAAGCCAAACTTTTAAATAGATTAAAAAAAGTAATTTCTAATTTTACAGAATTGCTTGTTCAAAAAATATTTTCTCTCACTCCCTCATCTCCTATACTGAAGGATGTATAATGTTTTCTTCAAGCTAAATCTGAACGTTCAAAATTGATTCTAAGCAGAAAATCTCTGCAAATTAAAATCAAAAACAAAAATAGAAAAATTATATATTTTTATATATGTGTGTATATATATATATATATATTTATACTGATTGGAATCCTCCAGCATTTAAAAAATCACATTAGAGATGAATTTTGGGATCCTACTGCTCACAACGCCAAAATCCATAATGATTTAAGGACATACATCTTCCTGTTTCCTTTCTGGCGAAACCCTCCCCTCCAAAACAGTTCAATATAGCCACGGCTCAAGTTTAATGGGAAGAGAGAAAAGTTTGTGAAAAGTTTTTTTTTTTTCTTTTTTTACTTTGGTGATCTGGGTGGCACATATTGCTCTTTGCCATTACGTCGAGTCACTCCCTGAGGTATTGCCCTATGGCTAAACTGGCGTCTCTGTTCCCTGATTTTTCCAGCTGCTCCCCTGGCTGTGGCATTGCCTCGGAAGCCAGAATAATCCTTGTTAGCCCTTGCTTCTGGCTTCTCATGCGGTTTCTCAACAGACTTCTCAGGAGCTCCATTCTCTTCATTTTTGGTGGGAGACACTACATTGGAGCGAAGTTCCCGCAGTGGTTGCACAAGAACTGAAGACGGCTCTTTTGGGGGCTTCTGGCACACTTCAGCATAACTTAACTTTCGGGGTTCCTTTGAAGCAATAAGAAACAAGCAAAAAAGAAATTTATGGCACATATTCTCTAAATAACAAAGGACCAAAAAATCATGTTAACACAAGAAAATCATAGTTATCTTAGAGGAAAGGGCAATGGGCATTCTCACATACACTGCTGATAAAATATACTGGTAAAATCTTAAAAAGTATTTGTTGAAAATAATAAGAAGGCTTAGCCATTTATTTATGATATAATAACTTCCTTTTTTTTGAGACAGAGTCTTACTAGGTCACCCTCAGTAGAGTGCTTTGGCTTCACAGCTCACAGCAACCTCAAAACTCTTGGACTTAGGCAATTCTCTTGCCTCAGCTTCCCAAATAGCTGAGACTACAGAAATCTGCCACAACACCCACCTATTTTTTTTTATTGTTGCAGATATCATTGTTGTTTTAGCTGGCCTGGGCCAGGCCTGAACTTGCCAGCCTCAGTGTACCTCAGCCTACCACAGAGCTGTGGGCACCAAGCCATCTCTGAAAACTTCTGAGAGTGAATCAATAAGAACTGCAGCAAAGCAGGTAGATGCCAATAGAATATTAATAGAAGACTAACAAAAAGTCTTAATTACCTCATCTGAAAAAGGCATGATATATTATGAATAAAGCACAAACGTTTTATTAGTGGTCTTAGCACTTACTAAGCATTCCAGTCAAAGCTTTTTAAAAATTACTGTCATTATTAAAGTATTTTCAACATACAGTAAAGAGCAATACTAAAATCATACTAGTTATATCACTAAATAGGATTTTAGGGGCTCAGAGCCTACAGCTCAGTGGCTAAGGTGCCAGCCACATACATCAGAGCTGGCAGGCTTGAATCCAATCTGGGCCTACCAAACAACGACAACAGCAACAATGACAAAAAAAAGGCCTGGCACTGGCTCGGCACTTGTAGCTCAGCGGCCAGCGCACCAGCCACATAACCACTGGCAGGTTTGAATCCAGCCTGGGACTACCAAAAAACAATGACAACTAGAATTAAAAAATAGCCAGGTGGTGTGGCAGATGCCTGTAGTCCCAGCTGCTTGGGAGGATCTGTCTCAAAAAAAAAGCCTGGCATTGTGGTGGATGCCTGTAGTCCCACCTAACTGGGCAGGTGAGACAAGAGAATTGCTTAAGCCCAAGAGTTTGAGGTTGCTGTGAGCTGTGACCATGGCACTCCACCTAGGGCCACACTATGAGACTCTGTCTCAAAAAACAAATAAATAAATAAAATAAAATAAGAAGGATTTTAGATAAAGTTTGTGTTTCTTCCTCTTCACTTTCCAAAGTATAAAATTGTGTAACAATTCTGAAATGTTCATACAAATGGGAGTAGCCTCTCAGTGGCTAGAGACTTAGCTGGCATATATGTAACAAGCAGCTCAATGTTTTGTTATGCTATCAAAATGACAATTTCATCATAAGTTGGAAAAGAAAAGAAGTTTTGCTTTACATAATATGATCAGGGAAAAAAAAATATACAACCAGTACCCCTTGAACAACTACTTTAACATTTAATCATTACAAGTCTTAGGTAACACATTAGGAAAGCAATATAAAAAATGAACTACAGGCTTGGCGCCTGTGGCTCAAGTGGCTAAGGCGCCAGCCACATACACCTAAGGTGGTGGGTTCAAATCCAGCCCGGGCCCGCCAAACAACAATGATGGCTACAACCAAAGAAATAGCCGAGCATTGTGGGGGGCGTCTGTGGTCCCAGCTACTCCCAGGGAGGCTGAGGCAGGAGACTCACTTGAGCCCAGGAGTTGGAGGTTGCTGTGAGCTGTGATGCCATGGCACTCTACCCAGGGGGACAGCTTGAGGCTGTCTCCAAAAAAACAAACAAACAAACAAACAAAAAAAAGAACTACAGAAAAAACATAATAATAAAAAAAAATGACCACTGATTTTTTTTTCTCTTATTGTTAACCAAAAAATAAAAGTTGCTTCATCTAAGGATTACAACATTCACTGCTGTTCTACATACTGCTAAATATGGGCTTGGTTTCAGGGAGTTTTTTTTGTTTTCTGCCTACACCTGTCCCCATTTTTCTACTTTTATGACTAAGGTAGAAATACTGTTTATTGAATGGAAAAGTGAAAACAAGTACAACACAAACACAGGTCTAATTGTCTTTAGTACTCAGGGACTTTTTAAATAAAAAGGTGTAAAATGTAATAACAAATTGTCTTCACATGGGCTGCTCACTATAAAAGAAATTTCCTTGGGCAACAGCAACATAATTATTCCTAGAATTTAAAAGTACGCACATGTATCTTCTTATGTTGTATGCCCTAAATATATACAATAAAATTTATTTAAAAAAACAGAACAGGCTTGGCGCCTATAGCTCAGCGGCAAGGGCGCTAGCCACATACACAGGAGCTGGAGGGTTTGAATCCAGCCTGGACCTGCCAAACAACAATGACAATTACAACCAAAAAAATAGCTGGGTGCCCATCCCAGCTACTTAGGAGGCTGAGGACAGAGAATTGCCTAAGTCCAAGAGTTGGAGGTTGCTGTGAGCTGTGACGCCATGGCACTCTAGCTAGGGTGACATAGTGAGACTCTGACTTAAACAAAACAAAACAAAAAAAAACAGAACAATTAATAATTTTTCATTCCCTCAACATGATATAAAAGTCCCAACTCTCTGTAGTGACTTTAAATTCCTTTGGTTTCCTTCTGATGTAGGCAGCATCAATTTGGGATACTTCTGAATGAATCTAATCTAACAAAGTTTTCTTCTTCTTTTTTGAAACAGTTTCACTATGTTGCATTTGGTAGAGTGCCATGGCTTGACAGTTCACAGTAACCTCATATTCTTGAGTTTAAGTAATGTTCTTGCCTCAGCCTCCCAAGCAGCTGGGGCTATCGCCACCTACAAAGCCAGGCTATTTTTTTGTTGTATCTGTCATTGCAGATTAGCAGGCCTGGGCTGGGTTTGAACCCACCAGCCTGGGTGTATGTGGCCAGTGCCCTAACCACTCAGCTACAGGTGCTGAGCCCAGATCTAACTAAATACTATAATAAATTAGATAACTATTTTTTTCACATATTTTTTCACATGTAAACAAAACTCTTCAAGTTACCTGCAGAGCCACAGCTACAGCTGCATTTATGTTACTATTACATGGTGAAGCAGTATTTGCCCTTGATGGCTTGGTAGTACTTGGGGAAGAAACTGGTATCTGGTTGAGAACATCCTTCTGAACAGTGGTATCCTCTACTAAATCCTTTTCTTGCTGAGTTGTGCTAAAGAAAAAAAAAAGCTTGAAATTAGACTTAGAATAGCATCAAAGAACAGTTAGGCAAGGGAATGGATGAAAAAATAATTCATTGTTGAAGTCTTCTATACTAAAACATGTACCTTAATGCAGGAATCTCAGTTGCACCTGGAGGACTGGGAGTCATACTTAGTTGTTGGGCAGAAGTGCAGTCTGTCTGCTCATCATCTGCAGGCACTGGGCAACTCACTCTCAACTCTTCATTATCCTTAACATAAAAAGATATTTCAAAATTACACTTAGACGTTTTCCCAAAGAAGATACACAAGTGGCCAGTAAGTACATGAGAAGATAATCAATATAATGTGTTACTACAGGAAGTAAATCTAAGCCGCAATGAGGTCAGATGTAGTGGCTCACACCTGTGATCTAAACACTTTTGGAATCCTTCAGTGAGATAATCACTTGAGGCCAAGGGTTCAAGACCAGCCTGACCAAAGGCTAGACCTAATCTCTAAACAAAAAAATAAAAAAATTAGCTGGGCGTGGAGGCTCCTGCTTGTAGTCCCTGCTACTCCAAAGGTTGAGGCAAGGGAATGGCTTGAACCTAGGAGTCTAAAGTCTGTAGTGATGACACTACACTCTAGTCCAGAGACAAAACAAGACCAGACCCTGTCTCAAGCAAAACAAAAAGCAGGCCAGGTAAGGTGGCAAAAACGCTAAAATCCTAGCACCCTGGACGGGCCAGGAGAGGGGATTGCTTGAGCTTGTGTGGGGTGCCTATAGTCTCAGCCACTCGAAGACTGAGGCAAGAGGATTGCTTGAGCCCAAGAGTTTGAAGTTCCTGAGCTAGGCTGACATCACAGCACTCTACCCAGGGTGACAAATTGAGACTCTGTGTCAAAACAAACAAATAAAGGACACATCCACAAAACAAAATAATAATAATAAAATAAATTGCTCAATAGGTTTAAATAGTAATGTTTGGATAAAGTTTGTAGAAAATACACAAGAAAAATACAAAAATTAAGAAAACCCAAAAGAAGAAAAGAAGAAAGGAAGAATTTATCAGAGAGATTATACAGAAAAATTTCCTATGATGGACCAAGTCCCAGACTTGAAAGGGTCCACTAAGCATCCAGTGCAATTAATGTAAAAGGGCCATACTAAGATAAATCAATATTCACAGAATACCAAAGGTAAAGAAAAAAATTCTTTTTCCAGAGAAAAGAACAAAATAGATCACTGAGATCAGGAATCAGAGCCCTTAGATTCTCAAAGATCTCAGGAAGCTAGTGCATTCGTTCATCCATTTATCGATCTAGCTAGCTAGCCATGATGTCAGACTAGCTGACAGATCCTCTTGTTTCACTTGCCCAAGTGGCTGGAACTACAGGCGTCCACCACAATGCTAGGCTAATCTTTTGTTTTTAGTAGAAACTGGTCTTGCTCTTGCTTAGGCTGATTTCTAACTGCTGATCTCAGGAGGGTTGTGGTGGGTTGGGAGGTTTAGGAAGGAGAACTGCTTAAACCCAAGAGTTTGAGATTACTATGAGCTATGATACTACCATGGCACTCTACCAAGTGAACTCAGTGGGTAGGGCACCTGCCCCATATAACCAAGGGTGGCAGGTTCAAAGCCGGCCCCAGCCAAACTGCAATGAAAAATAGCCGGGCATTGTGGCGGGTACCTGTAGTCCCAGCTGCTCAGGAGGCTGACGCAAAAGAATCACCTAAGTCCAGGAGTTGGAGGTTGCTGTGAGCTGTGATGCCACAGCACTCTAACAAGGGTGACAAAATGAGACTCTGTCTCAAAAAAACAAACACACAAACAACATGTGACAGGATGTGTTCCATAAAACCTCAAATTACTAAAGAAAGAAAGGAAATTATTATCATCAAGCCACAATGTTTAAATCTAAGTGGGACAGGAGAAGAAGAAATGCATTTAGGGAGGAGACAGACATGTCACTGCTAAGATACTAAAGATATTTAAAGGCGATAATTGCGTTGAGATTACAATGGGAAGTACACTTTATTATTACTATTTAAAAGTGTATACCTAAGCCTGGGGCGGTGGCTCACGTCTATAATCCTAACACTCTGGGTGGCTGAGGCCAGTGGACTGTATGAGCTCATGGGTTCAAGACCAGCCTGAGCCACAGCAAGACCTCGTCCCTAAAAATAGCTGTATATTGTGGTTGGTGCATGTAGTCCCCGCTATTTGAGAGGCTGAGACAAGGGAATCAATCGCTTGAGCCCAAGAGTTGGAGGTTGCTGTGAGATATGACGCCATGATACTCTAACAAGGGTGACAAAGTGAGACTCTGTCTCCAAAAAAAAGAAAAAAAGAAAAGCGTGTATCTCTGTATCATTATCTCTGAGAAGCTACCAATTGTAAAATGTATCATTATTTTATGTATCACCAAGGGGAAACAAAAACACTGCCACTTAAACAATAGATTTTTTTTTTTTAAGACAGAGTCTCAATTTGTTACCCTCGGTAGAATGTCGTGGCATCACAGCTCACAGCAACCTCCAGCACTTGGGCTTAGGAGATTCTCTTGCCTCAGCCTCCTGAGTAGCTGAGACTACAAGCACCTGCCACAACACCTGGCTTTGTTTTTGTTTTTTTGGTTTTTTTTGAGACAAAGCCTCAAGCTATAGCCCTGGGTAGACTGCAGTGGTGTTACAGCTCACAGCATCCTCAAACTCCTGGGCTTAAGCAATTCTCTTGCCTCAGCCTCCCAAGTAGTGGGGACTACAGGCGCCTATCACAATGCCCGGCTATTTTTTTGGTGGTAGTTGTCATTGTTGTTTGGCAGGCCTGGACTGGAATTGAACCCGCCGGCTCTGGTGTATGTGGATGGTGGCACAGACACTTAAGCTACAGGTACCACCAACCCAGCTATTTGTTGTTGCAGTTTGGCCATAGCTGGGTTTGAATCCGCCACCCTTGTTATTTGGGGCTGCTGCCCTACTCACTGAGCCACAGGCGCTGCCCCACAATAGTAGCTTTTAAATAATTATAAGAAAGCCTAACTGTTTTTTTTTTTTTTTTTTGAGACAATCTCACTGTTATCCTAGGTAGAGAGCAACAAATGAATGGTGTGACCATAGCATATAGAGTGCAGCACTGTGATCATAGCTCACTGCAACCTCAAATTCCTGGGCTCAAGAGATCCTTCTGCCTCAGACTCCTGAGTATGTGGGACTGCAGGCATGCACTACTAGGTCTACATAATTTTTCTTTTCTTTTTCTTTTTTTTTTTTTTCTCCAACTCTTGGCTTCAAGTGATCCTCCTGCCTCCATCTCCCAAAGTGATAGGATTATAGACCTGTCTTTTTCATTAGAAGTCTAAATTTACTATGCACATGTAATGTCACAGTAAAAAAGAAAAAAACCCAACTGAATTAAAAGGTAGAAAATGCAAAGTTAGTGAGACCAGAGGATTTCAAATATGGAGAGGTCTACAATCAAAAATATTATAGGATGGCCTATCTATTCTCTATTACTTGAAAAATTGAAGTTACCAAGTTAGCTCAGAATTCATTTATATCACTGGTTAATTATAGGCACTTAATGTGGTAATGACAACTTTGATTTAGCTTGCATTTAACTTTCAGTTCTAAAAATCTAACCTGATTGGTACTAAGACATGCAAAAGCCAAGGAATGCCTTACTGACCTTGTGTAGTTCTATCACAAATCTTTAAAACATTCTATGTATGCTGAAAACTTGATGAATAAAAATTATGACAGAAATACATACTATGTGCAAATAAAATTTTAAACAATAGGGTGGTGCCTGTGGCTCAATGAGTAGGGTGCCAGCCTGATATGCTGAGGGTGGTGGGTTCAAAACCAGCCCTGGCCAAACTGCAACAAAAAAACGCTGGGTGTTGTGGCCGGTTCCTGTAGTCCCAGCAACTCAGGAGGCTGAGGCAAGAGAATCGCCTAAGCCCAAGAGCTGGAGGTTGCTGTGAGCTGTGATGCCACAGCCCTATACCCAGGGAAACAAAGTGAGATTGTCTCTTAAAAAAAAAAAAAAATTTAAGCGATAACCCTAAAAATAAAGTCTAAATATGGTCTCATAAGGTAACAGAGAATTATATTAAATGCTTCCATGTTTACCTTTTCTTTGTAGACACCTTTAACAACATCAGACATCCTATTCTCCAAAACAAGTTCACCTGGCATTCTTGATGAACTTCCAGGTAAAGGAGGAAAATTTGAGGCTAGTAAGTCAAACTTTGGTGTTGGAGGCTTTGCTTCAGCTGTTGAAGGATGGGGTCTCTAAAGGATACAAATAATAAAAGAAGTCACATGCCTATTTAATTCTCTAATCTTATGCCACAAACATTTAAAGCTGTAAAAAAAGAAACAAAACCTCTAGCCTAATGCACTGAATTGTCTCCCTTATAAAATACCTGGTTTCTTGGCTCAGTTTAGCTATTATTAGTCCTTATCAATCTTAATTATCTTTAGTCAGTTCTTTCCTATTTCTTTTGCAAACTCTGCCCTACTCTTAAACCTTCTAAACCAGTGGTTCTCAACCTTCCTAATGCTGCAACCCTTTACTACAGTTCCTCATGTTGTGGTGAACCCCAACCATAAAATTATTTCTGTGGCTACTTCGTAACTGTAATTTTGCCACTATTATGAATCGTAATGTAAATATGTGATATGCAGGAGACCCCCAAAGGGGTCGCGACCCACAGGTTGAGAACCACTATTCTAACCAATTTCCACTGTTCACAGATTTCTAAATTTGTTACACCTCCTTCCATAACAAAAAAATACACACATATCCCAGCACATAGGGAAGTCAAGGTGGGAGGATCAGTTGAGTCCAGGAATTTGAGACCAGCCTGAGTAAGAATGAGACCCTGTATCTACCAAAAATAGAAAAACTAGCCAGGTGTGGTAGTGTACACCTGTAGTCACAGCTACTTGGGACGCTGAGGCAGGAGGGTCACTTGAGCAGGTTATGTTGACATGATTGCATTGTAGCCTGAGCAACAAAACAACTCTGTCCACCTCTCCCAAAACCCTATACAATATGCACCTTACCTACACATGGCATTGTTTTGTCTCTACATAGTTTCAAGAAAGAACATTATCTTTTTTCCATCTAACAGTTTGGAAAATCTTACCTTTGCCTTCTATCTACCAAATTATTATGTCCTGACAAGACTGTCACACGTGCCTCCTCTAGGTTCTCATCTCTGCACTCATAACTCAATTAAAATAGTTGCTGGCAAGTCACCAATGCCTTTCACAATGGAAAACCTGACATTTTATTTTTTCTGACCTCAAGTGTTAAATTCTTTCCTTTGGGAGTACATTCTTCTTTTGGTTTTTGGGATAGTTCTCTTAGTTCTTCTCAGAGCTGACAGTCATGTGCTTCTCTCGACTACTTCTTAAATTTTGATGGGTTTTTGTTAACTTATGAAAACAATCATTGAATTGTACACTTTAAATATTTCCAACCCAGATCTTTACTTGAAACTCATGAATACACTTGCCCATTTTGCTACATCAATTCAATTCCCCTCCCAATTTTGCTTGGACACTTCAAACAACATACTAAATAATCTCATTTTCTGCCAAAAGCAACTGCTTATAATCCACAAGATTCCATATTTGAAAGACTTTTATCATTCTTCAGAGCATGAGCATACCCTTCATGATCTCATTAATTCCTATCACTTCAATTACTATGATTAATCTATCAATCCTAAATTTGATCTCTGCGATCTCCCTCCTGAATTAATAACTCCTCTACCCTGTCCTTTCTGTTGGAAGGCATGCCAGTCTCCTTTTCTTTCACACCAAATTTTAGTCCTCAATCATGACATTCAAAGCACATTAAAAAGACTCTAAATCTAACCACTTTCTTCCAACTGTTGAGGACCACCCTAGGCAACATGATAAGACCCTCTCTGTACAAAAATTCAAATACTTAGCCAGGCATGGTGGTATGTTCCTGTAGTCACAGCTATTTGGGAAGCGGAGGCAAGAGGATCACAGGTGCTCAGTTGTTTGAGGCTATAGTGAGCTATGATCATGTTACTGCCCTCAAACCTGGGTAAAAGAGTAAGGCCCAGTCTTTTTTTTTTTTTTTTTTTGAGATAGTCTCACTTTGTCACCCAGAGGTTGAGTGCTGTGGCATCACCTTAGCTCATGGAAACCTTGAACTCTTAAGCTCTAGCAATTATCTTGCCTCAGCCTCCTGAGTAGCTGGGATATAGGTGCTGGCTACCACAACTGGCTAATTTTTCTATTTTTCATTAGAAACAGGGTTTTAATCTAGTTCACACTGGTCTCAAACTCCTGAGCTCAAGCAATTTACCCACGTAGGCCACCTGGAGTGCTAGGATTATAGGAATGTGCTACCACACCTGGCAGACACCCCATCTCTTGAAAAAAATGAAAGAAAAGAATTGTTGCCTAGGCTCTGTGTCTGTAGCTCAAGCAGCCAAGGTGCCAGCCACATACACCAGA